CCCCCCCCGTGCTGCGTCCTGCCCCCCCCCCCCCCCCGGTTCTCAGTCCCGGGGCCGAAGCGGCACCGGCACCGAGGGGGCGGGGCCCCCTCAGCGGTGACGTGTTGACGCCTCGCGGGGGCGTTCCCCACGCCTCTCCTCCTCGCCCAATCCGAAACCGGCAACGGTTCCCTCGACCAACAACATCTCGCGTTTCCCCTCCGTCCCGCCCCTCGGAGGGCGGTGGCGTTCGCGTCCGGGGCGGGGCTAAACCTGAGGCGGCGGCGGCGGAGGCGGGAGCGGGCGCGGGAGCTGCCGGCGCCGCCGCTCAGGTAACGGGGCCGGGGATGGGGATGTCCGGCCCGGCCCGGCCCGGTCCCCCGGAGCGCTGATCCCTGCCCCTTCCCTCCGCAGCATGCACCCCGCGGGGGTCTGCGCCGCCTCCCTGGGCTCCCTGGGGCTCCTGCGGTTCCTGGGCGCTCCCTGGTCCTGGAGCTTGGCCGCCACCTTGGGCGTCTGCCTGGGCAGCGGGGGATGGCGGCTGCTGCGGCTGGTCTTCAGGACGGCTCCGCGGGACCTCTTGTAAGTGTTGTCCCCCGGGACCCCTCCGGAGGCAGCCCCTCACGGCCACGCGTGGGAAGGGGTTGAGGGTCGGCGGGTTCGCCGCTTTTAAGCCCGAAGCGACTCGGGTTTTAACTTGCCCTGCCTGCGCACGGGCGGGCGGTTGGAAGGGCTCAGCCTGCAAGGGAGCGAGCGAAGGGACGCGGGATGCCCGCGGGATGCCCGCGGGATGTGGGTCCCGGTTCCCCCGTGGAAGGAGTTGCGGGGCGACATGTGTGGTTACGCTGAGCTTAAGGAGAGGGTAGAGCTGTCGGAAAACGCGTAAGCCGAACGAGGGGATTGCGGCGCAGAGAGCGGTAAGTCTCCGGCAGCTTCTCCGTCTCCTGGGAGTCCGTCACCACCGTCGCGTTTAGTTCTGCGGTTTTTAGGCCTCTGTGAGGATGTGCCTTTATTCCAAAGGATTTAGGGCTCCTGTGATTGCCAGCTTCGCTCTGGCTGTCACTATACTTTGAAGAGCTGTTTCCTCCCGATTGCCCGGCAAGCTGGGAATAATGGCAGAAAATAAACTGGGCAGAATAAAGCCCTTTAAGTGCCTGGAAAGTGCAGCTCAGCAGTGAAAAGGCTCCTCTGTTCTGTATTTGGCACAGCGCGGTGTAAGGTCACTGTGAAAGTCCAGCTCGGCCTGACCATTGCCAACAACTTGTTACTGAAACGCACCCTTCCCCCTTCTGCGAGGCTTTGCTCTTGCTCTTGATGTTCAGTCGTGAGAGTTGCAGGGGTTTTTAAGTGCTAATATTAAATGACCTTTCAAGTTTCTGGGGATTCTTCCAAACCCTTGTTGCACAACAGTTTCCTATTTTAATGGTGGAAAAGTACTGCCTCCATCTTCCTACCTCCAGGAAGGAAACCAGATCCGTTACGTTTACCCAGACCTGCTGTCCTCGTTTTGGTGGCGGTGTTATGGTAGCGTACTTTAATAAATTTCTTTTCGTATCTAAGTTATAACTGATAGCCAAAGCAAGAGAGCCAGCGTGCCCCTAAAGATAGTTTCCTCCAGGACAACGTAAGCGAGACAGTTGAAGTTCAGACAACAACTTTTGCCGCCATCCAGCTTGAACTGTGTCAAGGTTTGACTTGCAGCTGCTGCCTTGGAGACTTAAAATAATTATGTAAATTATGGAAGACAAAAAACAAAAAGCCCTGTTAGAGCGGTCTGGTTTGTTCTTTTATTGAGCAGTTGCTCTTCGTGGTATCCCATACTCACAGAGGCAGTAATGCTGTTCTTGATAAGGCACGACGTCTTTAAAGGAGCTTGCCATCCAAGAATAATTATTATTTATTAATTATTATTAAAATCTGTGGCTTCTGCCTGGTAGTATCTCAATAGCCTCACTTCCTGTCATCCCAGGACTGCGGCAGAGACTGACTCACAGGAAAATGCGCCGGCAAGCAACATGCCAGCAGTCCTCTCGTCTCGTGGGTGAAAGGGGAAGCCTTTGGCTTTGTTCTCTTGGAGCTGAGGGTGTACATTGTTATCAAAGGGTCAGGCTGTCTTTGTAGTTTAAATGCTCTTGGATCCTGAGGGGTATAATTTTATGAAATAGCACAAAGGTGCTGCAAAATGTCCTGGCAAGAAAGGTGCTTCCCATGTGAAGTACGTTTGCTTCCTTTTGAGGTAAAAGCAATGGTTGGCAAGTCCTTTTTTTTTTTTTTTAGGATGGCAGAAGACGTTGTTAAAGGATGTAATTTACCCTCCTTAATATTTTCTGTGGGCTTGTTTGAACTGGTATCGACGTGAAGATGGATTCCCTGTGTTTCATAGTGTGGAAAGTACCAGAACAGTTGCTGTTTATTTACCATACTGTTAAAATAGCCGTCATTTGCTGTAGAACAGCAGTGATTAAAAGTTCCGGTTTCAGGGTGGTGCTTCAGCTGCCCAAGGGCAGGGGGATGCCGGTGGGATGCTCATGTGGAGTGCGTGCATCCTGCCCACGTCCCTTCTAATTTAGAAATTGTGCTGAAAATTAAGCTGTTAATGCTCTTTCTTTGCTGCAGCGGCCTCTCGGTGCTGTTACGAGTCAAGTACAAGTTGCGAAGGCATCAAAAAGCCAAAAGCACCATCCCCAAGATGTTCCAGGATGTTGTCCGCAGGCACCCCGACAAAGTGGCCCTGATTTATGAAGCCACCGGTGAGCAATGGACCTTCAGGAGGCTGGATGAGTACTCCAACGCTGTGGCTAACTACTTCTACCAGCAAGGTTTCCGTCTGGGGGACGTCATCGCCATCTTTATGGAGAGCCGTCCCGAGTTTGTTGGCCTCTGGCTAGGGATGGCGAAAATCGGCATTGAGGCGGCTCTGATCAACTTCAATTTGCGCTTGGATTCTCTGGTTTACTGCGTGACGACTTCGGGCGCGAAAGCCGTGATCTTCGGAGGGGAGCTGTCTTCAGGTAAGTCACTTGGGTGTTCGTACGCCTTATAGGCGACTCATGAACTGTTCACTTGGTCCTGAGTAAGGCAGAGATCGAGTAAATTAAAAACAAAAAGGCAGCTGGCCGCATGAAAAGCTAGGGAAGATGGTAAATCTCCTGATTACAAAAGGCAGAAGCGTTCAGTTAGTATCTGAGGCTAAAAGAGGAGCAGTGTTTTGAGCAGAGCGGTCAGTAGCTCGGTTTCATCTGCCGGCACCTTCCTGATTTCCTGGTGCCCGAACTGATCTCTGTGATTTGCTCTTGTTTCGTTGGATCTGGAAGAGCTGCATCGGGAGTCTCATGCTTCATCGAGAAGTGGCGATACATGCCACAAGACGTGTTTCTCAGCCGCAAGGCCTGTTTTTCTCTTTTGCTGTGTTACTACTCTTTGCCTAATGCTATGCTTTCTGCCACAGGATGGGTTTGTCAACGGATGCTGGTTTTAAATACATCCCTGCTTCTTTAATTAACTCTGTTCCGATGGTTGTTGTTAGATTTGGTGGTTTATTATTCTGAATCATCTCCTTGAAACCATTCTAGATTATTTGAAGATAGCGATGTGGTCATGGGGAGAGGCAATTTCGTGTAGTTTTTTTGTTAGTGTCTTTACTGGGCCTGGGTCAGTCTGACCGCACTGATGGGGATGTTATCTGGACGGGTGTGACGTAAGTATTTTAAAGGAGTCCCTGGTTCTTCAGGTCCTTCCGTGGTTTTGGAGCACAATAGGATGTTATACAGGTTATTTTTGCCACTGCCTAGAGAGTTACGTTTGTTGCAAAAGAGACTTGCTTTGTCTTGCAGCAATATCTGAAGTGAATGGGATGTTGGGGAAGAACATGGCAAAATTCTGCTCTGGCTACTACAACCCGGATGTTGTTCCTGTGGAGACCAGACATCTTGATCCTCTTCTGAGTACTGCATCGAAATTGCCCCCAACTCAGATTCCAGTCAAAGGTTTAGATGGTAATTTTATCAACGATTTTTATTTCTCAATGTGATGCGCGTGAGATCTGGACTAGGTGACAGCAAAACAAGAAAACTAAGCAAGATGGATTAAATCAACCCAGTTTGGGGTTACAAATAGAAGAAAGGATCAAAAAAAGAGGAAAAAAAAAGTAAGATCCTGGTTGCAGGGTACTCGGGGTTAAGTTTCTCATTGCCTGAGACTCCCAAGCTTTACGTAACTAATGTATTTAGTACCTGAAGGAGGGAGATTGGTGCTTTCCCAAAGACAACCCTTCCGTTATGGGAGAGTAGCCGCTGGAATGCGTGTAGGGTGAAGCACCGGCATGTGAGGACTTACCCCGTCCTTCACTAGCTCTACGAATCTATCTGGTTTGTCTGTAGCGTTTAACAGCCCATATTCCCTTCGCCCACAGCTGACTTGTGTGTAATTAAAATCTTTCCTTGCCTGTGGCAAGGATGAGCGGTAGGTTTGGCATTCAGGAGAGGGAAAGGAAGATGCTGACTGGCCTCCAGTCTGTATTTCGTACTTTAAGACAATTAAGAGCCTCTGAGATCCCTGAGGCCTGAGGCTCCATTTTGGTACTTTGTTTACAGTAGGAGGAACGATGCTGCGAAGAGGCTTTTCCTTTAGATTATATTTTTTAATCATAGAGTTAGATACCTGCCCTACCTGCAGGGACACAGGTTGAGACCTTTCTTCTCGATTGATTTGGAATTCATGTCTGACCTGCAGAGCTAACCTAGTCCCAGGAAAATTTGCGTAAAGTTATAGGGGTCGTGTCCTCCGAGCTCTGCAAACTCTTCGTACATGTTCCTGTTATGGACAACGTGCAGGTTCTCCGTCAGGCTGCAACTCCGCCTTTGTGTTGGCCTTCGCAGCTCACCATCCCCTGTTCTTCAGCCGCTGCGAACAAAGCCTAAAACACAAAACAAAGCCTGTGGGGATTTTCTCGGGCAGTTGAGAACAGTCTGACGCCTGTTTCCATTTTTCTAGATCGACTCTTCTATATCTACACTTCAGGAACAACAGGAATGCCCAAAGCTGCCATTGTGGTGCACAGCAGGTTAGGACCTGAGGAGGTTCTTCCCTCTTGAGGCGCGTTTCTCATCACAACACCCCAAGTTTTACCCGTCTCGCTTGCTTAGTGTGTGCTGTGTTCTTGCAGGTATTACCGGATCGCTGCCTTTGGTTACTACGCCTACAAAATGCACCCGGAGGACATCCTCTACAACTGCCTCCCCCTCTATCATTCCGCAGGTAAGCGTCCTCCTTCTCGGAGGCAGAGGTAAGGCATTGGCCTCCCCTGTGCCTGCTTCTTTCTGTGTCCTTGAGAGTGATTGGAGCCAGGATGGCCGGAGCTAGCCCCGTGATCCTTGTTTTCCAGGTAACATCATGGGAGTTGGGCAGTGTCTGATCCATGGCCTCACCGTGGTGATCAGGAAGAAGTTCTCGGCCAGTCGCTTCTGGGACGACTGTACAAAATACAGATGCACGGTGAGGGCTCTGCAGTCGCTGTCTTTGGTGCTCGACTCGAGAGCACCAGGTCCCCCCCTTAATTACTGATCTCCAGGTAATTCCCCGTCCCTTGTTGGATATCGAGGTGCCTGTGCCATGGCATCTTCAAATTGCCAGTGCTGCTTTAGTCATGCAGGACTCTAGAAAAGGTCTTTCATCCGTCTTAGGATCATAGAATTGTTTAGGTTGGAAAAGACCCTTAAGATGATCGAGTGCCATCGTTACCCTGGCACTGCCAACTCCACCACTAACCGTGTCCCCAGGCGCCACGTCTACACGTCTTTTAAATCCCTCCGGGGATGGTGACTCAACCCCTTCCCTGGGCAGCCTCTTCCCGTGCTCGACAACCCTTTGGGTGAAGGAATTGTTCCCAGTATCCCATCTAAACCTCCCCAGCCGCAACTTGAGGCTGTTACCTCTCGTCCCATCGCTTGGGAGAAGAGCCCGGCCCCCATCTCGCCACAACCTCCTTTCAGGTAGCTGTAGAGAGCGAGGAGGTCTCCCCTCGGCCTCCTTTTCTCCAGGCTAAAGCACCCCGGTTCCCTCAGCCCCTCCTCTTGTCCTCCAGACCCTTCACCAGCTTCGTTGCCCTTCTTTGGACACGCTCCAGCACCTCAATCAATGTCTTTCATGTAGTGAGGGCGCCAAAACTGAACACAGTATTCGAGGTGAGGCCTCACCAGTGCCAAGTACAGGGGGCTGATCGCTTCCCCAGTCCTGCTGGCCACGCGATTTCTGACACAAGCCAGGATGGCGTTGGCCTTCTTGGCCACCCGGGCACGCTGCCGCTCACATTCAGCCGGCTGTCGACCAACACCCCCAGGTCCTTTTCCGCTGGGCAGCTTTCAAAGTGCAGGACCCAGCATTCAGCCTTGTTGAACCTCATGCCGCTGGCCTCGGCCCATCGATCCAGCCTGTCCAGATCCCTCTGTAGAGGGATCCCTCCAGCAGATCAACGCTCCCGCCATACTTGGTGTCATCTGCAAACTTCCCGAGGGTGCGCTCGACCCCCTCATCCAGACCGTTGATAAAAGATATTAAACAGAACCAGCCCCAGTACTGAGCCCTGGGGAACACCACTGGTGACTGGCCGCTCACTGGATTTAACTCCATTCTCCACTGCTCTTTGGGCCTGACCAGCCAGCCAGTTATTTACCCATCAAAGAGTACGCCCATCCAAGCCATGAGCAGCTGGTTTCTCCAGGAGAACGCTGTGGGAAATGGCGTCAAAGGCTTTGCTAAAGTCTAAGCAGACAACATCCAACATTTTCTCCTGCTTCCTCTTCGCAAAGTTGTCAAGGCGAGCTTTTAAAACACAAGTTTGCATCCATTACTGTTGCAGGAAAGCTCTGCCAGGATTTATCCGCGTTAGGAATCACTGCAGAGGAATTCTCTTGGCACTTCATAGCCAATAAACATCTATTTGTGTATATGTCAACACCACCTTCTAATTTAAGCAGCTCTTTCTCCTCCCTGGTGTTTATCTTGCCCGTCCCCCACCAGCAGTATTTATAGCTGGTAATTGGATCTCCACTCCGACTGCATTTTGCTGGGTCAAGCTGTTGGTTTATGATTGACCACCCATTCCCCTAATCTTCCTAGAGGTCTTTCAGTGCATCTATTAAAGCAGGAGGGTTTTTTCTTTATATGAGTGTCTTTATTCACGCGGAGGGATCCCTCCCGTGCTCTTTTCTGGTGCTAATGTGCAGGTTCCAGAGGGCAGTAACCGTTTTACCTTTGCCTATTTTCTCGTGGCAAGAAACCCCGACTTGAACTTGTGACCGCTCACAGTTTATTAAAATTCCTGACATGTCTCGTTCCACGAGGTACGCTGAAACCAGTGGCCTCGTGGTCAGCTTTTTCCAGGGCGTTGTAAGGGTCGCCTGAAGCCTGAGCTATTTTTTTGTGTTTACTGCTTCAGATTATTCAGTATATCGGGGAAATCTGCAGGTATCTTCTGAATCAGCCGGTCCGAGAGTCAGAAACCCAACACTGTGTGCGGCTGGCGGTGGGCAATGGTTTGAGACCCACCATATGGGAGGACTTCACAAAGCGCTTCCGAATTAAGCAGATTGGAGAGTTTTACGGAGCCACGGAGTGCAACTGCAGCATTGCCAACTTGGATGGAAAGGTGAGGAGGAAGAGGGTGCCATGACGGCTGGGAGGGGTGTGCAGAAAGGAGAAAAACCTCCGCTGGCTTCTCTGACTCCTCCTAGTCCTCTCGTGAGGGGTGGCAGGGAGAGCTAAATTGGTCATTAGGAGTCGCATGCACAAAAAGCTGGGTAAAATCTTACCTTTTGGGTGAATTTACTTGTTAAATGGAAAGGGAGGAAAGATCCGAGAATTCCCAGAAAGCGGTAATGTGAAACCCAAGCCGTTCCCTTCAGCATTTTTGTTTGGTTTTTTTTTTTTCCTGTCTTTTGGAAGGTCGGTGCCTGTGGTTTCAACAGTCGGATTTTGCCCAATGTTTATCCCATCCGTTTGGTGAAGGTAAACGAGGACACGATGGAGCTGATCCGGGATTCTGGTGGGCTGTGTATCCCCTGTCGCCCAGGTGAGCGTTAACCTGAACAAATAAATCGCAGCTTTTTGTCCTAAAAAAAAATATATATATATATGTAATAATCTTTGGCTGGTTTAAGGGGTTTCTAGTGTCATATGCAGGTTTTCGCTTCCAGTTCTCTCCTCCAAAGACGGGTCAGTTCAGCAGCTGAACATCCTTTGATGTGCACAAAGTTTAGCTTGTTGCGAAATGTCGCCGTCATCTCGTTCATCCCGTTTCCTGCAGGAGAGCCGGGATTGCTCGTCGGTCAGATAAATCAACAGGATCCCCTGCGTCGGTTTGATGGCTACGTCAGCGAAAGTGCCACCAACAAGAAGATCGCTTACAACGTGCTTCGGAAAGGGGACCAGGCGTACCTTTCAGGTACTGTCAGTACGGATCGCGGATGTTCCTCGTGCAAAGGTGGTCTCGAGAGAGCTAAATCTGGGATTTTTGAGAGGAGCTGATGATCTTAAAGGTTTTTTCCAACCTAAATGATTCTATGAACGGATGTGTTAGTGTTTTGAAGTTGCCAGCTGTCGAGCTGCTCTGGATTTAATAAAAAAATTAACATTTCAAAGAGGATTTTTTTCCCCCTACCCTTTTCCTACTGCTGCCTGTCTCCCTTAAGAAGGAGATGCAGCGCGTGGAAGTCGCCAAGGGATTTCTGCGCTCCCCTGGGAATAAAACAGCGCGACGCTGAGCGGAGGGTGGTGAGGCAGCCCTGAGTGTTAACGAACTTGAGTCCCGAGGTGGTTTTTTTGGTGTCTCCTCTCCCCTTCCCAGGAGACGTGTTGGTGATGGACGAACTGGGTTACATGTACTTCAAAGATCGCAGCGGGGACACCTTCCGATGGCGAGGAGAGAACGTCTCTACCACAGAGGTGGAAGGAACGTTGAGTCACATCCTCAACCAGACGGATGTTGCGGTGTATGGAGTGGAAGTACCAGGTAAAACGTCGAGTCGGAGCTCTCGGGACCTCGGGAGAAAGAAAAATATTAAGCAAACGTGTCGGAACGGGTGGAAATCAGTCGCCTCTCTTGTAACCAGGCACCCGACAATGAACAGATTGAGTCAAACAGCAGAGTTTGACGCATTTATTCTGAGCAGTAGAAATAACCAGAGATCCAGCGGTGCAATCTTTACTTGTATCTTAAAAAGGGGGGTTTTTAGGTGAGCTTTGCAGAAGGTCTTGGTGTGCAAAGACCATTCCCTGGGTGTGCAGGCCCGTAAATCTTCAAAGGGTGGAGGAACGGGGGTCGAGTAGCGCACAAAGATGGAATCGAGCGTGTGTTGTGGGCATGTTGGGCGGAAAGGTTCCCATTGTGGCACTTTGCCCTGAATTCTATCACGGCGTATGTGAGAGAAACCTGATGAAAAGAAGATTTGGATTAGCTTTCGGGGGCGGTCTCGACTAAGGGGCGCGGGGACGCATTGGTGGCGGACTCGCAGCCTCTGGTATTACGTCAGGTTTTCCTCAGTGCGTTTGCGCTTTGCCTTGAAAGGGACACGGGAGGAAATACCTGCGCTCAGCGTCTGCTAAATGCCTGGTCCCCTTTCCTGCTTCTGCCTTCTCCACCTGAGCTCTGCTCTTCTGTTTCAGGGGTGGAGGGCAAAGCTGGGATGGCGGCGATCGCGGATCCCAAAGCTAAAGTCAACCCCAACGTCCTGTACCAGGAGCTGCAGAAGGTGTTGCCTCCCTACGCCCGGCCCGTCTTTCTCCGGCTCCTACCCCAGGTTGACACCACAGGTACGGGTGATCCGGCTGCTCTCCGGGGGGGGAAATTTGGATCCCAAAAGGAGTTTGGAAGTGTTTCCGCCTGCTTCGGGGTGAGAGAACATCCCAACTTTTGAGTATGGCAGGTGCAGAAGTAATGGCATTGGTAAAAATGCCTAAAAAGTAAGGCGTTAGTAAAAATGAGGATTGTAGTTATGTCTTAAAGAAGAAATCAGCTGGTTCCAGGCCCTTATCAAAAAGATATCTGTAGATATATATAGGAACGTGTACCCTTATCAAGAAGATATCTATAGATAGGAATGTGTATCCTCTTAACTCTCCCGAACGCTGTCTGTTGCCTTTCCCAGGGCTTTGTCCCAGTACGATGAATGGCCAAATCAGCTGCTGCGTTTTCTGTTTTCAATTTCCCAGGAATTTACTGCGTCCTTTTACCAGCCTCGCATGTGAGGAGAAGTAAAAATTGCGCAAGGTTTGTGTAAGAACTCTGGTAATGATCAGGAGGGTTAATGAGCATTGAGTTGCTAAAATTCTTAGGCAAAACTGTGAAGTAGAAATGAAGTGCCACCCGTGACCATTTGTCCTCGCTCTGATGCTTAAGCAGGCTTTTTGAGGCAAAGTATTTTTAATTTTTTTTTCTCCTCTTTTTGAAGGTACGTTTAAGATTCAGAAAACCCGCTTACAGAGGGAAGGATTCGACCCCCACCAAACCTCAGATCGGTTGCATTTTTTGGATCTAAAGTTGGGAAAATACGTTCCTCTGGATGAATGCCTTTATGAAAGGATTTGTTCTGGAAAAGCTGCTTTATGATCTAGTCGGATTCAGCCTTTTTCGAGGGAAAACGATGACTAATTGGAGGGACAGGAGGCTGGTGGATTCCTTACGCTCGGGGGCAGCCTCTCCCTCCCCTGAAGCACATTTAACCCCTCACCCGCTCCCTCCCCGAGCGCTGACATCCTATTAACCTGCCCTTACGCCTCTAGAGAGAGTATTTTTATAACCACTACCTGCTTAGGGAGGAGTTCTGTGGCCATATTTATTTACGGAGATACCTGTGCCCTGCCGGGGGCTTCTCTCTGCTCCGTCTCTGAACTTTACTTAACAAATTTAGATTTTTTTTTTTTTTTTTTTTTTAACCTCACTTGTGTTAGGTCACGTTTTAACTACCCGCGGGCCGTGCCCTTAGGGTTGGGGATGTGAGGACATTAAAAAAGGAAGACAAACAATAATAAATAAAAAGCCTTCGATGGGTGCTGTGGTGGAGGGGAGAGCGGCCTTTGCCTTTACCCGCCCTGCGCGGGTGCCTGAGGCCTTACTGAGGGAAGAAGGGCCGGGGCTTTGTGTTCGGGCGGTGGAAAACCGAGGCGCGGGGTGAAGCCGCCTGAGCTCTGCCCGCCTCCTCCTCCCTCCTTCGGCCTGCGCCGCGCCGCGAGGCCGGGGTCCCGGGCAGAGGCCTAGGCCGCGGGGAGGCCTAAGCGACGGGTTGCTAGGCAACAGCGCGGCGCGCCTAAGCCGCGCCACTTCCGGCGCGCCGCTTCCCCCTACCCCGCCGCCGCCGCCGCCGTCATGGCCGCCACGACCGGCCCCGCGTCCCGCCGGGTCTCGGTGTTCCCCTCCCCGCAGGAGCTGGGCCCGGCCCTGGCGCAGCTGGTGCTCGAACGGGCGGCGGCGGGCGGCGGGGGGGGGGAGCGCCTTCTCGGGTGGGT